TTCTATGAAACACAGAATATTCTTTGCACTCACTGTTTGGTACAATACAGTGACTCAAACAGTGAGAGTGTGAGTGAGTGTGTGTGAGTGAGTGCGCCTAAGCGCTCAATAAAATGTCGGCATAATAATATAAGTATGCGATAAGTTATTATTAAAAATACACTTAATATTACTTAACTTTAAACCTCTATAATTTGCATCCATATACAGCATAACCATACATAAATTTACACATATATTCTAAAAGGGTTTGAGTAATAGAGGTTTGAGTGTATCATAATTTGATATGCAATCAATTGTAAAATAAGAGATTATTTAACCGTATATATAACTGAGAAGTTTTTAGATATTATGTTAATTGAAATAATTGTTTTATTTATTCAATAGCTAAACATTAAAGGTATTGGAGAGTTGTATGTTTTTAAATATTTATTTGTATTTAAATTAATTATAATATAAAGTGTCTCAAAAATGCCTGAATTTGCCGCTAATTTAATACAAGTAGTGAATGAACTTCAAGACAAACTCAGAGAGAATGTTGTTTTAGATTTGCCACAAATCGTTGTTATCGGAGGTCAGTCTTCGGGAAAGTCTAGTGTTTTAGAGTCTATTGTTGGTCGAGATTTTCTGCCCCGAGGGTCGGGTATTGTCACCCGAAGACCACTCGTTCTGCAATTGATATGCGATAAAAATATCACTAAACGTAAGAAAATGTTTATAGACTGAATTTAATTAAAACTAATTCATGTATAAAATGTAAGCGTTTGGAGAATTCCTTCATTCGCCGGGAAAACGATTTGAGAGTTTCAAAGAAATACGCGATGAAATCACAGCTGAAACCGATAGAGAGGTTAAGGAAAGCCGAGGGATATCATCGAAACCAATCAATCTTAAGATCTATTCGCCGGATGTGTTGGATCTAACTCTTGTAGATCTGCCGGGAATGACAAGAGTGGCCGTTGGGAACCAACCCAAAGATATTGAAGTATTGATTGAAAATATGGTTTTGGAGTACATTG